GAAGCAGTTGACATACACTGAAACATCCAAGAACGCCATTTTTCGCCAAACCCCATTTTACCCAAAATTTTCAGCAAAATCCCCCAGTTAACGGAATCATATGCTCTCTTAAAATCCACCTTAAAAACCATCCCCTTCAACCCTTTCTTCCTCCAAAAGTCGATCCCTTCATTCGCTATGAATGAGCAGTCCAGAATGCTCCTCCCTCGGATAAAAGCAAATTGGGACGGACTAATAATGTCATTAATGCATAAACTGAACCTCCTAGCCAAGACCTTTGACAAAATTTTATATAGCCCTCCCACAAGGCTAATTGGCCTAAAATCCCCCATCCCCTCCGGGTTAATCTTCTTAGGAATAAGCGAAATAAAAGAATGGTTCACCTCTGGATCCCACTCCTTCCCCTCGAAAAAATCCCTAAAAAACAGCATAATACCCTCTTTCAAACTAGGCCACGATATTGTTGTCTTGTTAGATTTGGGACACATCAATTCGCTCATAATCAAACTGAGATATTAAATTCCACAATTTCCTGGGATATCATTTAAGGGAGGTGAAAATTTCAGATGTTTTCATATTTGTATACAGTATTAATGGAATTCCATCTATTATTCACAGTGAATTCACTTTGACATGAATTTCCACTTCCACTTCAGATAATTGCTATATCATATTAGATGCTTTGGGGTTCAAAGGTAAACTAGGGAACCAAAAATGAATTCAACAACATGTGCATACCCAGGATGGCAATCACTAACTTTCCACTTCAACTGACCAGCTGACACATCAAGTGCTAAGACATCGCCACTTCCTGTTCCCAATACGAGCAAAGAACTTCCAAGTTTCCTTTTCTTCTGCAAAAATTAAGGGTTTTGGTTCAAATGTGAGTTTATCATAGAAGGCATGTCATCAAAATTCTGCAAAATTTTTTATTAACATAAAAATGACAAACCTTTTTCTCAAAAGACAACCACTTCATACATTTGTAATCAATCGAAAGATGCCCTCTTTCTGCCTTAGCATATATGTTTGTTGCTTCACTTGATACAATGTTTGCAAATTCAGTTTGAATTTGACCCTTCAAAGTGTCCCAAATCTAACAAGACAACAATATTTCTTTTAGATAAGATGCATAATTGTTCACAATGAAGCATAAAATGCAACCTCTAGTTAGCAAAGTCATCATCAATCAATTGCTCTTGAAATAATTTTAGATACCTTAATACGACCATCTCCAGAACTAATAGAAAAGTAGTCCAATGAAGGACTAAATGCTGTCAAGATATCTCTGATGTTCGAGGATCCCATATCCTGGTCTATCAAAAGGCAAACTGCATTAGCATATGCAAAAACACAAATTTCTCAATTCAAAAATCAAAATAGATAAAACCCCAAATCGCAAAGTTTTAGCTGAAGACACAACCAAAGAGAAACACAAGGAATACCCAAATAAGAATTTAACAGAAAAATCCAATTCATGGATTAAAATTAAGAACATCCCCCCATGAAAGCTAAACTTTCAATAAGAGTTACTCATAGTAAATAATAAGCTTCAGAAAGGGTACAAAAAAGAACGAAGATAAACTCCAATGGTTTCTAAATGAGGCTTCAAGTTCTTCAACAAAGAGCTTTATTTGTTATTCTATTAAGCTTACAAGTGAGTTTCCAATACCGGTGGCCGTTGAGGACCTCAATAGCGTGTAAAAAAATCACATCAATAGCAGAAGCAGTTGGCGGCGATAAATAGTAGTGCAAAGGGAAACAGCAGGTAACATAACCATAATTCAAAATCTCATGACTCAAGTAGAAAGAATGTCCGAGTAAAATTCAGGGTTTCAGAAACTTAACTTACTTAATTTCCTGGCTTGAAGGGTCAGGGGCTGAAGGAGGAGGAGAGGCTTGTTCGGCGGCGGGGATGTGCAAGGAGATGTTTAATTTAAATAGCTTAATTTAAACCTTAAAAAAACTTTATATATAATTTTATGGGTTAACTACACTAATGATCCCTTTAATTTGTTATATCTTATTTTTATCACTTATTTTGAAAAGATAGCATTTTAGTCACTTACATTTGCTCCTTCGCGACGTTCATCAATCAATCTTCCATGATCAGGTAGACTTTGCTTTCTCTAAGCCTTTTTGTGACCCTAATATACTTTCTGACTCATATGTTGAATTGTGAAGCATTCGAATAATCTTTTGACGTCAATGTCATTGAGATTTATTTTGCTGAATGAATATTGTTTACCAGCTCTTCCTTTTACTTTTATTTTGGCCTGAAATTTATGGGCTTTCGAATATTTTCGTCATTGAAAGTGAAGAAAGTAACAAGTTGGACCATGCTTCTCCTCTTTGTACTGGTCATGAGTCGGGTTAAACCGGATTTAACAAAACTTTATTTGATCTAAAATTTCACCTAAATTTTAAGGTAAAATCTGCTCCCGTGCCCAAACTGATTTTATCCTTCAAAATATTTCACTTTGGCCCAATTTTCTTAAAATAAATCTTTCAACTCGAACCTGAATTTTCAAAAAGAAAAATAGAATCAAATCTAAACCCATCAAATTCGGATAAATATCATCCCTAATCTTAGAGGCCTAATAGCATACAAAATGCCTGAAGTAATATTAAAACTAGTAAGTAATTATCTGGTCCATTATTTTTTCACTTTCGTTGTTATAACATATAAAAAATGTCTTTCACTCTTATCACACCAATTGTCGGTAATGATGGGAACAAATGAATTACAATGAGAATAGGCGGTTCATCCCTTCTAATTTGAGCGGAGACTCACAGTCGATAATGGACCAATCGTTGTCGATAAAGATAATATATAGATAATGTGAAGATGAAGATCCAGGGAGAAAAATATATTTTCCACTCGGATATCATAGGCTGATAAAATAGGTATATTTAATTGATGTGATCAATCGTCAATTGATTTTGATTCTGACAAATTATGTTGGATCCACTAAGGGTGCGTTTGGTTCACGGAATGTAAGATTACCAGTGGGAATAAATGATTGTCAGGGAATAGGATTACTGGGAATGTTGTATTTTGTGTTTGGTTGGTTTAGCAGAAATGTAAAATTACCGTGTTTGGTTAAAGGAATAAAAGATTATTAGAATGTATATTTGACCAAATTGTTCTTATTATATATTTGTATAATATTACAAATTGTAAAATATTTATATATTTTCTTTAAAAAATTAAATTCATAATATTTATATAATTTTTTACAAAATTAAAAATATAAAAAATGTTTAATGAAATGGTAAATTTTTTTAACCCCATAACTTTATATAAAATTTTAATTATAGATTATTTTTTGTAAATCTAAAATAATTTAAGGATAAATTTGTAATTTAATCTTCGTAGAATTTTTAGTATTCAATGACAGAAGAAGGATATTTTTGAAAAAAAATAAAAATTTAAGGGCATTTTAGTCCAAAGTGCCGGTAATGTTACAATACCTAAGAGAATGGAGGTAATGACATTCCTGATAATATACCCAAAAAATCTACTATTGGTAATAAAACATTACCGAGAATGAGATTCCCGGCCAACCAAACATGAGAATGTCCCACAATCCTTGAACCAAACACCCCCTGACAGTTATGTCAAATGATTTTGGTTTCCCAAGAAATATAAAGCTCTTAGTGCTCTATGTCTCATGTCCGAAGATGTTTCCTTACATGAGACTTTTCTCCTAAGAAACCGTTTGGAAGTCTTGATAAATTAGAATACATACATTGATCAAGCTTTAAAATGTTTATATTAATTCGTGTATGCTTATTTAATATCGATGTCTTGATAAATTATAATACATACATTGATCAAGCTTTAAAATGTTTATATTAATTCTTGTATGCTTATTTAATATCGATATTCTCCCTCAGTATCAATACGAAGAAAAGAGTATCAATATTCTTTTACGAGAATCGATACTCACTATGTTATATAACAACAATTTTCGAATGAAATATAAGAAATATCGATATTACTCTAATGTTGTTAATAACAATTGTCGGAGCAATATTTATTGTGAAAAAATCTCTCTTCAACAACTTTGTTAAGTTCCACTATCACCAAGACAACTATAAATCAAAGAAAGATATGGTTTAAAGTATTTAGAGTGGAAGTTTAAATTTGCACATATATTTATCTTATGAAATTTTCTTTATTTACTATTTATAATTTTCTTTTGAAATTATTAGATCATATATTTTCATAAAAATTACTATAAATTAGTAAATTTGTTACTTTTTTAACGCGCATAGTTAAGGTAATGAACTAGATTTTGTTTACAAATTGAATCGCTCTAAAATTATTTGTGTTACTTATTATTATTTACAAAGCTTTCGTTGATTTTTAATAGTCAATTCAAACTCCTTTTGACCACATTTGTTAATCAGTTAATTCAACAGACCTAAAAACAAAGACAACATCATTGATATACCAGTTTACTATATGTATAAAATAAATATTATATTTTACGATGATTTATCAAAATAGCTAATTCAAATAAAACAAAAGGAGTAAGTTAAAGTCAGTCATCAACTTTCTAGGTTTATAGAATGACTCCAAACTTCTCAAACTTTGCACTTTTGCTCCTATTTTTTTGGGTCTTTGCAATTTAATCCCCAAATACAATTTTTTCTCGATTAAGTCCCAAAATTTCCTTTTAATCCCAATTAAATTCCAGATTATGACGACCAAAAATACTAACCCGAATTTCAAGATGTGACAAAGATGCTCTCCTTAGCAGATAACAATGAGTGGAAATTCAGATGATATACAACACTCGTAGCATTAGCATAAGCTGGATACATTGTTGAAGAGACTTGCCCACAAAATAACAATACATGATTAGAAATGAGTCTCTTTTCTTTTTTATATCATTAACCAAAGTACAAAACCAACAAGAAAATTTAGCCTATCAACTTCTGAAGGCTCCAAAGTAAGTCACATACACAATTCATAATACAAACCACAATAGCATATATATATATATATATATATATATATATATATATATATATATATATATATTGTGAACTCATTGAGTAGCCTCTGTAATAAAAGGAAATGTTATTCTCCCTAAAGAATCTGAGTTTGAGTAACTGCATCTGTAGTATGTGTGCCATTCAGAAAATGTATATATTTAATGGGAATGTATACACCAAGATGTTAGTGATAAACTTTCCAATATCTTATCTATAAAGTTTTGGTAGTCCATCCAGATTGCATCATATAAATTATAAGAATATCGCCATTTTTTAACAATCACAACTTCCCTAGACCATTGAAAGGAAGAACAACAGAATTTTTCCATGACAGAGATGAATGTGAATCATAATAAAAAAGAACAAAACATTGCGAACAGATTTCTGCTAAGAGATACCAAAATCCTTCCAAGAACATCATGCAGCTAGCTATGAACCTTTTAGTCTCCAAACTTATTTCCCGAAGGTGTCCTCTGTATGTGACAGCTAAATTTAACGAACCTTCGCCATGCCTTTACTGTATATTAAGTTTTAATTTCAATAAAGCCAGCTACAGAACATTTCATGGTGATGCAACAGGCAAACATAAACTATGCTGGAAAAGGAAGAAACTAGTTTTTCCCAATAGTAAATCACGAAAACCATCCAACATCGACTGTAAAACAAGTATCAAAATCAAGCACCATCGGAATTCGCTAAAACAAGGTTAACCTTCATACAAAGTGGCAGCACATTTAGTCCATAGACAAACTGTATTAAGCTATACTTGGTAAGTTGTTCATTTGGTATATAACAGAAAATTCGTTCAACCTTCGAGTTAGAATATAAACTTTGTTATAGCCAGTCAATAGGCAACAATGAATCATGCAAATAAACTAAATTAATATTTAGTTTTTCCATAGAACTGATTATCTAAAAATGTAAACAAAGTAGGATGACTTGGGAAAAACTAAATCAAATAAGATATATGTAATTACCTTGAATGAAATAGGAAACAATTATTCGACCCCAACAGACCTGGCAACATTGTACCGTAACTTCCTATTCTGATTTTCCTGGAAACAAATTCATTTAGAAAATAGCCTTAAATGAGCTTATCCGAAAATAATTGACGAGTCTAAAATACATTCGGATAGTATAAGACTAAAAAAAAGACAGAAATCGGTTGTAACCGAAAAATTTACCAAGAGCATAACTATTTAGAGTAAGCTCGACAACATTTTAGGTTGAAACCGAAAATATTATGTTCTTAGTAATAAATGTAAATTGTATAACTATTCTGGTTGCTACCTAAAATATTAGGGTCGAGAGATTCTCGGTTGTAACTGAAATTGTATGTAGACATATAACATTTTTGGTTAAAACCATTATAATATAACATTTTCCATTATAACAAAATTATTATCAATCATATAACTTTTAGTTTATACATGATAATATTTTAGACTAAAACCGGTAACAAATTAAACTTGGGTTAAGCCGCGTAGGGAAGAACCTAAAAATAATACCTGACATGCACAAAGAAACCAACTTTGATCACACCATGGATAGAAAAACGATAGTAATTAGCTCACCTGTTCAAGAACCTTAGCGGAGCTGGCTTCAACGAGCCTGGCCAAGCTTTCGGCCTTCAAAAGCATTTTCTCGTATAAATCCTCTAATCCAGCGGTGTATCTAGTGGCTTCCGGTCCGATTAACCGGTTCAATCTCCCAATTTGCATTCCCTCGGTGCACGTATCCAACAAGGATTGATCCTTCTCCGTTTGTTTCATTCCAATTAAAGTCTTGTCATTTCTATCTTCATTCATGGGCGTTGAGCTCCTTAGCTCGCAGTTCAAAAAGGGTAGCGCGGAGGTGGGGCTAAACGACCCGTAATGCCCTCTAAAAGCGGGCCCAATGTTGACTACATCGATGGATAGCGGATTAAAACAGTGTCGGGATGATTGGAAGTGGAAGGCCCGATACTGGTTGGTTTGAATGAATTGGTCTTGTAGGGGAGTGGTGAAGAGGAGGAAAATGGAAGGAGCGAAAAGGGAATCGGAATCGGAGTTTTGGATCGGAAGGGAGAGATTGGAGGTAGAGGAGAGAGAATGGGTGACGACGAACTCACGCATGGAAGGGCGGAGGGGAGTTTTGCGGCGAGAGGAGAACCAGCCGATGAGGGGTTTGTGGTTGAGGTGAGTAGTGGAAGAGAGTCGGGAGGAGTCGACTCGGCCGAGTGAGTCGTAGAAGGAGAGGAGAGAAGGGAAGCAGAGGAAGCCGGAGATGATGGCGACGAGGTGCGAATCGGGGGAAGTTTGGGAAGAATCGTCGGAGAGGGTGGAAGGGGAGATGCGAGTGACGTGGCCAAAGAGGAGACCGTCCACATCGGCGGCGGAGGATGAGAGGCGCTGGATCATGGAGGCAAGAGTGGGCCCCGATATGGCTAATTTATGCAACAGCACATCGTCCATGACGTGAAAATGGTGGGGGTAACAGCTTAAAGCTAGAACAATGTCTCAAGTAATTTCTCAAGAGGAAGATGCGCTTCACCTCTCTATCAACACTTTTTTTTTAAAGGCTCTCTATGAGTGTCGGCTAAATGGGCTTTTCATTGTCATTAACGTAGTCTAGTGGGCTCAAACATTGACATCTCTTCTTATGGGTGACTATTCGATTGAATCGAGTTAAAATAAAAAATTAAGTTAACTGAATTTTATGAGTCGTATTTTATAATTGAATTTTTTATTTTAATTTTTTTATTTGAATAGAATTGATCAAATTTGATTTAAGTTTCTATTTAAATTTAATTATAAATATTTATAATGTTATAATACTATTTGATTATAATTTAAACGATTTTCTATAACTATATATGATAAATAAATATATCATATTCATATATTTTCATGTCATATACATATATTATGCAGAGTTGAAGAACTCAACTCAAACTTAAATCAATCCGTTAACTCCTTAAAATTTTGAATTATTCGAGTTCTAGTTTATAACCTTACTCGAGTTTAAAAAAAGTTCAAGTCAAATCTAATTTTATAAATTACGAGTTAAATTAAATAAGATTTTTAACATTGAGTCAAGTCAACATATTTAATTTTTTAAAGTCGAGTTTATTTATTCCTATTTGTTAAGTCATATTAAAGTGTTAAATGTTTTATTCACTAACGAATTTCATATACCGAAAGACATTTTATTTAAAAATAAAACATTAAATATTAAAATACTAAAAGAGCGTACTCTAAAGTAATTATTCGTATTTTTTTATGCCAAGTATAAACCGAAATTTCATAGATGTTTTAGTACCATTATCAACCAGAAATTTAAATTACGATCACGATTACATTTTCAATTACATAATATTTATTATAATTACGTACATAACAATTACTATTACGGTTGCAATTGTGATTTTTTTAAATGCAACACAACTTATTTTAAAAAATGCAAATTTTAATTGTCATAGCGAATTGTTGATTTTTTTAATTAACAAAAAATACCGTAACAAGATAATAATTAGAATAACAAACTGCTATTGTCACTAACAATCGTTACCTATCAACCGCTATTGGTGTTTACTCCGTTATTTCCGCTATCTAAATCCATGTTATCGACAGAAATAATTTCATCTCCTCCCTATTTCAGATGCAGCAGCATGCAAATCAACATTGGTGTGATTCCACTTTACACCGTTAATATCCCATGCTGTTCTTTGTTAATATCCAGATGCAATGCACAGTAACAGCCATTGATGCATTCAGATCTTATAACAAAGAACAGCATGGGATATTAGCTCAATTTATGATTATCCTGTTTCTATAAAATCAAAGTGTATGAATTTATGCACAGATCTGACACAGAATTCCCACATGGTTTTCATAAACACATGCATTCAACGCGTACAACTCACAATGGATCATCCACAAGTATAGAAGTATATGATAAACCCTATAATTCATCAAACAATGGAAGTAAAGAAAAACCATAAATTCCCCTATGGGGATTTTATTTCCTAAAAAGATACTGAAAATTGAATCAATAACAGGTGAAGCGATATTGAATTCTAGAGGCAAAGATTTAGGGATGAAGAACCATGGATCGGATTCAGACACGAGCGGCAACAACAGGGGCGGCGGCGGCGGCATTGGAGGCGGCACCACCTAGAAAAGACAAGAATCCGGTGGATGCTTGTTCTTGTTCGTCCAAGAAGAGATCCTCAGGGGCCCTGAAGGCGCCGTGAGCACACACTAGTCCAACTCCAACCATGAGAGCGGAAATGAGAAGAGATCCAACGGATGTGAGGAAGACAACGAAGACGCTGAAGACGATGAGGATGCCGAGGGTCTCGCGATCGGAGAAGGAACGGCCGAAGACGACGAGAGGCTGGTCGGCGGGACGGAAGAGGTAGAGGAAGATCCAGGAGCAGAGGAGTCCAAGGAGGAGGAGAAGGGAAAACGGATGGGAAAGAAGGGAAAAGGCGAGGATAAGACCAATCACCGACAGATAATTGACTCGGAAGTATGAGTAATTCTTGCGGACACGGACGAGGGCATCGGAGAAAGATTCTGGCTTGGAGAAGGCGGAACGATCAGCAAGTTCAGCCCAGGGACGGCGCTGGGAAAGGCCGTTGCGGACAGAATCATTGAGATGGGAGAGGAAAGAAAGAACAGCAGGGGTGGCGGCGGGAGGCTGGGATTCGACGGATTGTGCGGAGGAGATGGGGAGGACGGCGGGACCTGCGGTGGACATTGCTGTTGTTGGAGAAGAGTTGGGGTTTAGGAAATGTGTAGATTTAGATCTAGATTTGGTGTGCACAAAATAAATAAAGGAGAGGGATGGTATTTTACTTTCATTTTCTTCATCGTTACGGATTGATTCACCACCGTCAATTCAGCAAGTAAAGCTTTTCAATCGGGTCAATTCTTATTTCCCAACTTTTCAAGCAAAGGGATACTTGATTTATCAACATTTAGCTTTACATTAAGTTTTCTAATTATATATTTATAAATTCACCAAGTTTTATGTAAGCTGTGCATAAGTTCATTGCATTGCATCAAACGAAATTGAATCATGTAAATGTAATAATTTGTAATACACAACCCACGAATATATATATAGAGTAGGGGAAGCATAGGTCCGGTCGGATCATATTTGTGACCAACTCAAATTCAATTTGAACATTTTATTCCTTCATCCCCTTTAATTTAGGTTTAGAAAGATTCAAATATTTAGATAAAAATATGCACTCAATCTTACATAGATATATATAATTTTATTAAATAAAATAAGAATATAGTTAAAAAATATTATTATAATTATTTATAAATGTAGACATTTATTTTCGTCCAGGGTCCTCTTTCATTTTGTATAGTATATAATAATGTCAAATATAACTTTTGAATATATATATATATAGGTTTTAAAACGGTTTTGAAAAACATATAGTATATAGTTTTTAAAGTAATTTTAAAAACGTAAAATATATATATTTTTTAAACCTGTTTTCATTTAAGGTAAGTTTGAAAACATATAACATATAATTTTTATTTTAAAAATGTTTTTATATACATATTATTATTATTATTATTAGTATTTTATTTCTTTTTTCGTATTTTTTTCTCTTATTTCAGGCCCATTTTTTATTCATATTTTTTCTTCAACATAAAAGCAAATCACAAATCTTTTTCACACGAATAATTTTCTAATGAGAAAATAACTTCAGTGATAAAAAATGCCTTATAATATACGATTTTAACCAACTTTTTTTGGATTTGCCAAAATGACCAACTAAATCGCAATGCGATTGATAATTCGCAACGCGATCTCCGATATCGCAAATCAGTTTCCAGATTCGCAACGCGAACTTCGACTATCGCATTGCGATTTACATATTCGCATTGCGATAGTCCAAGTTCGCGTTGCGATAGTCGAAGTTTGCGTTGCGATTTATTCCAAATTCGTTGCGATAGTCCAAGTTCGCGTTGCGATTTATTCCAAGTTCGTTGTGATAGTCGAAGTTCGCGTTGCGATTTATTCCAAATTAGTTGTGATAGTCGAAGTTCGCGTTGCGATTTATTCCAAGTTCGTTGCGATAGTCGAAGTTCGCGTTGCGATTTATTCCAAATTCGTTGCGATAGTCCAAAATCGCAACGACTGGTGGTATTGCATTTGTTTCTTAAGAATTTTCTCTAAAAATATAGTATTCGCGCGGACGTGTCGAAGATACGTATTACCACGACCACGACCACGACCGAGACGAGACGAGACGGCGGCGGCGCGTGAGAGTCCCCCTTATTCTCTATCACTCAACAAGGAAGTGAGAAAGTCAAGCCTTAAATACCATTCCCAATAGTGTTTCCAATACTATGTGGGATTGAGCATTACAAACACTTGTTCCCAATACTATGTGGAATTGAGCCTTAAATAGTGATATTATTTTTGAATGTTTTGCTTAAAATTGCAATAATCCCGATTGATTGTAGATTGACTTTTAATTATGACATATTTAATCGTATAATACTAATGCAATTGGTTGTTGATTCAGTTGTTTTAAGGTGCATGATTGTTAATTGTTTCCTAAATAATCACATTGTATTGGAAACAAGTGTTGGTAATGCTCAATCCCACATAGTATTGGAAACACTATTGGGAATGGTATTTAAGGCTTGGCTTTCCCACTTCCTTGTTGAGTGATAGAGAACAAGTGGGACTCTCGCGCGCCGCCGCCGTCGCCGTCCGTCTCGGGTCGTGGTCGTGGTCGTGGTAATACGTGTCTTCGACACGTCCGCGCGAATACTATTTTTTTAGAGAAAATTCTTAAGAAACAAATGCAATACCACCAGTCGTTGCGATTTTGGACTATCGCAACGAATTTGGAATAAATCGCAACACGAACTTCGACTATCGCAATGAATTTGGAATAAATCGCAATGAATTTGGAATAAATCGCAACGCGAACTTCGACTATCGCAACGAATTTGGAAAATCGCAACGCGAACTTCGACTATCGCAACGAATTTGGAAAATCGCAACGCGAACTTAGACTATCGCAATGCGAATATGTAAATCGAATTGCGATAGTCCAAGTTCGTGTTGCGATAGTCGAAGTTCGCGTTGCGAATCTGGAAACTGATTTGCGATACCGGAGATCGCGTTGCGAATTATCGATCGCATTGCGATTTAGTTGGTCATTTTGATAAATCCAAAAAAAGTTGATTAAAATCGTTCATTATAAGGCATTTTTGGTCACTGAGGTTATTTTCTCTTTTCTAATTTATGTTGAAAATCACAAATCTTTTCACACGAACAATTTTCTAATTTCCATACAAGTGCAGTAATGATTATTTGTGGTGCCCAGCTTGCTAAAGAACAAGCTTCAGAAGGACCAATTATGCCATTTTGACCAACCGAACTTTGTTAACATACAATTGAAACGAGGAGCGGGCAACAAGTCTTTGTCCCCGGTCGAACAACAAGCAAAGGTC